CTGCCCTAACAGCAACAAAACAGCCTCTAAAACGAAATAACAGAAGTTTAGCCACATCAGTAAAAAAAAATTAAAAGTTTGAAAAAATGAAAGTGAATGGCTTACAGGATATCACAACTAATATCTAAGATATATATAATATATATATATAGTATATACTATATAGGTATATATATATAGGCAATCTTGGGATGCGTAAAAAAATTTCGCACAGTTAACGTGCGAAATCTAATTTAAACCGTTAGGATTTTTTTGGGTTCATTTTCTCGTGGATGAAAAGCATCGTGACATCCCCAAGGCATTTTAGAATCGCCAAACCCTCCTGGTTCTCTCCTCCCTCTTTCTCAAGCAATCGCTCCTCCCTCTCCCTCCTTCTCGCTCGTGCCCCCCCGTCCCATGACCCGGCGAAGACTCGTCGAGCCCCACAGCCCCAAGGAAACCTCCTCCCTCTCCCTCCGCCTCCCTTCCACAAATCCTTTCTTCATAATCTCCTTCTCCCCCTTCTCGCGCGTGACCAGCCGCCCCAGACCAGTCAGAAGACCCCCCCTCCGTCCCACACACATCGACGCCGGCGACTTTTCCACCACGCGTCGAGAACCTCCCCCGCCCAGGACCAGTCCCCTCTCACTTGCAAAGAATGGGCGCCTTTCCCACCGCCCGGTCGAAGACCTCCCTCCCTCTTTTCTCGACACCGTTCTGAAGACGATCCCTCCCCCCTTTCTCGCCGACGCAGTAGAACCAACCCTCTTTTTTTTCTTTAAAATGATGGAATTTAATCCATGGGTGTTGGATTCGATTGTTATAATGCCCGCGATGTTTGGATTATTAAGGCCAAGATTTTCTGATGTGTTTTGTTGGCTTAATTTTATCTTGGGTGTTGGTATTTCGATTGTTCATGTTGCTCAGTTTTTGCTGATTTAGCTGTGGCGGTTGAAGGATGGTTGTTGATCGTGCCGCTGACGGCATCATGGTTAATATGAGGATTTATACGCTTTAGTGACATGAATTGCAGATTTGCGTTGATAAAATTTAGACCACATAAATATCGACGTTTGTTGGTTAGTTACGCTGTTCAACCTATTTCAATTTGCCTAGCTGATCACCTGTCCCGACCAGCTCCTCAGTTTTTGTGTGCAATGAAGAACCACTTTCGGCAAATTTGATTGTTCTAATTGACTAATTCCGGATTTTTGGAGCCTCCTATATATATATATGAGAAAAATGGGTATCCTTGGTATCAAGCACAAGTTTTTGTGCTTGGTAGTGAGTGGCACATTCCCCTCCACTCATTGAAATTGGGGCTCACGTTCACATAGGTTGGGGAGTGGTTGAGAGTTGGAATGAGTGGGCTTGGTACCAAGCATATCCATTTCTCTCTCACACACACACACTCTCTCTATATATATAGAGAGAGAGAAGCTTATGTCAACTTAAGTGGATAGGAGACATTGTCCACCAAACTTTTTATCCACTCATCTTGCCTTCAGATTTGTGCCATCAAGAGATCCACAAATCTCTAAGAACTCTTCATATCTTTCACGGATCCCAAAGCAATATCAATGGATAAAAAAGTTGTTGGATGGCTTTCTCCTATCCACTTCAGTTTACATAAGACTACTATATATATATATATATATATATTTATTTTTATATATATATATATATTCAACTTTGAGAGATAAAGATAGTAAATAAACCCGTTTTAGATGCCAAATAAAATTGTGTAGATGCAAAGTTAAACCAATTAAAATAAAAAAATAAATGATTTCAGGAGTTTGTGGGAACATAGAATGTTTTCGACAATCTGAACACAGAAGCATCCAAGAAATTAGGAAATTATGTACGTCAGAATTACTGTGAAAGTTCACATACACCAGAATTCTCTTGAGAATCTAACAGATTTATGTCCAACAAAAATGAAGGAAAGAAACAGTAGAAGCATAAGCAATGAAAAAATCATGCAGCCAAAGCACTGATAAAGGTACAAGTACAACCACAAAGATGCACCTCCACATGATGTTTGATGTTTAGTGTTTGGCTTGTTAGATATAGGTACTCTGCAGGTAATAATTGTATATTGTAACAAGACTTATATAAATATAACATCCTTGTTCAAAATGATAATATGCTATTTTGGTTAGATTTATCTGGTATTTTAATATAGATAAAGTCCTTAGAATGATACTAGACTATCAGACATTTCGGATATGATCGTAATGAAGAGATCTGATTTGTCGCTAACGTATATTCTAAAATGTTCCTAATCGATGAAGTGTAGAAATGAGACATCATCACTTTGGAAAGACTAGTGTATACTCTATTTCTCCTTTGGTAGGATGATGATCCATCTCTTGGATTATTGATGTGAGACATCAAGATATAGTATACAGGTGACGTATTAGTGAATGAGTTGACTGAACGACTCACTGAGAACGTCTAGTTGGTAATTATACTTAACTGTCAAAAAGAAGTTCTCAAGTGATATAGTACAAAGTAGTCTCTTGACCAGAGGTATGAGTGCAATATCTTACATGTCAGTATAGGTGTACTTAGACTTTTACCTAACTATAGTTCTTATTGAGTTGTGCATAACGATTCTTGTTAGGTGCATTCCGAGAAATAAGTAAATATTGAGATGTCAAGAAGGGATTCGTCTCTCCCAGTATAGAAGGTTGATGTTATAAGATTGTTTGATATAACTATAGCCTGAAAATCTTTGGCCAAGGTAAATAAGATAAACTGAGTGTCAGTTTGATCTTAAATGTTATGAGTTTAATATCAACAAATACTAATCAATCTATTTGGGTTTGATAGTTTTCCATACCCTAGGCTCAATAGTTTGACATTGTTTGATGAAGAGACCGGACTGTACAATGTTATCACTGAGTGGCCCTAAAAAATGTGTAAGTATCTTACAGACAATTATCACAACTTATACTTAGGTAGTCTTCATGTGTAGCTAGCACCTCTGTTGTACTTGTGGATATGATCCACTGCCGAGTCTTAAGTTGGGCCCTAGAGTCACACCAAGCACGTACTTGAATCCTATGAAATACAATTTATAGAGTTAAATGTGTATGATTGATACGCATATATAATTTTTACCAGATACACATAAACGATTATATGTATCGGTAAAATCAGAATGCTATGTGCTTAAGAAATAAATTCCAGTATTTCCCCATAAAGTTAACTTTTAGTCAACTGGTTAACTTTTGGTCAACTCATTGATTTTTTGATCATATGATGACTTATTAATTAATGATTGAAAAATTACGTAATACCGTATTTATGAAACATCGTATTGATGTGGTATTTTTATTTATGAAATACACACTTCATTATATCTTGATTAATGAGTCATGAGATGAGTCATTAAGGTGGTATGGTTTGGGAACATGGTTTTAGCACATAGTTTTAATTCTTCATGACTCTTTGCATGACTCATGAGATGAGTCATTGCATCACTCATGAAAGGAATCATTACATTTAGATGACTCATGACATAACTCATGAGATGAGTCATGACATATCTCACTCTATATATATGAGCGCTCTCTCTCTCTCTCTCTCTCTCTCTCTCTCTCTCTTATGGAGAGTTTAATGAAAAATTTGACTAAGTGGTTTTTTTCATAAAAGAATAAAAGAGAGCTCTATCTCTTACTAAACTCTAGCAATATTTGAGTAAGAGAAAATAGTAGGATTTTATAGTACCCCGGGGTGGATATCTTGTCTTGTGTCTTAAGAAGACTCCAATTTTATCAAGCTCACTTTAAGACTTAAAGATCCACTACAAGGAGGTTTACTACAACAAAGAGAACGAGCTAGGGGTTGTTCGATCTACCATCGAATCACGCTACGAAAGTAAGCCTTCAAAGCTCTTGGTTGCTCTCTTTATTATAGGGGTCATATTAGATTTAATTAGGATGGTCCTAGCTTGTATTTCATGTTCTCTACATGCTTAGTATTATTATACATACAGTCTTCCGCTGCGTATTTTGCATGTAATTAGCACGAATTTCCAACACGGCTATCCACCGGGTAGATAGCTAGAGTGACTTGAATTCTAAAAGCATACTGGCTGTTCAGAGGAACAATAGTGGGTCTAATTGTTTGTCCAAGATAGATTATTCACGTAGGGAAAAGACAGACTTGGGTCTAGAGATATTCTGGACAGACAAATATTGTAAACTTCGAGCATATATCACAATAGCAAATGGGATGAGAGATTTTTGGAACTGGAGCTGGAAATATGAAACATATAACTAAATAACCATGTTGGCAGTTGGCATTCGATGACCTATTTTTCCTTTTCTTCAGTACATTCTGAAAGTTAAAGGCTGTTAAAATACATATCTCAGGATAGGAAATGCTTCATATGATAGTTAGAGCGAAAGAAGATACGGGTGAGAAAGTTCTATTTCCAAATGGATGAAACTTCATGAGTCCAGCTCACTATTATAACCGGGCAAAGAGGATAGAGGTAGACCTAAAATAACTTGGTTGGAAACAATTGAGAAAAACATGATGATAGTTAATGGAGGAAATGACACATAATATAAATAGATGAAGAAGATATATGTAGCCAACCCCAAAAATTGTGGATAAAGGTTCTTTTGTTATTATTGTTGTTGGTGTAAGGAGAGAAATGCTTTTAAATTCACGAAGTTAAAATATGGAACACAGTAGTGGAAGTCACTTCTCAATCATGAATTCTAGATCATTATCCAAGCTCAAACAATAAAATTTGGGTGAAAAGTATTAATAGAAGAGCCAGTTTACTGATTTTCTCCCCATCCACAGTAGAAAGACATAATACAAATTGTTCTATGTCATAAATCTCCCAGAGAACTATTTATTTTGATATTTATATGCCTTTTGAATCATCAATATGATAATAAGCATTATTTGATATCTATACTTTAAACCATGTTATTAGACACAGCTAGTTACCCCCGTCCAACTAATTTCTGATAAAATTCAGACACAAAAGATGCAAAATTTTAGGTGTTCAGTTTTATCCCATGAGTAGAACACTAATTTCAGTAAAAGCTCACAATATCTGTTGGCAGAGTAAGTTCTACGATAAACCAGTGAAACCTCCTCTCCCTCATCCCCTCCGCCCATCATTTTGTTAGGTTTGGCAGAACGCATGATGGAATTGATAAATAACCCCCTGGCAAGGAGTTCTCTCAGACCGACATGATAGTATAGGAACTTTCCTGGCAAAGTTTAGGCAGTACTAGGGGATTTCTATAAAACCAACAGAATGAAATGGTTTTCTGTTTGCCAGAAAACCTGGGGGCTTGAGCAGTATTATCAAGGATAATCATATATGCCATAAGAGACATCCTCAAATCAGGTTTTTACTTGAAATTTTTTTCAGAATGCAAGAATCAACCTTGAAGGACTTTATCTATAACATTGTTAAAAAAATACTATCAAAGACAGCAATTTCAAAACTTACGCAGGATCAACAGCTAACATTCTCCCAAGTTGATGCCTTGAATTCCCAGGAGCAGATAACTGAACATGTGTCACAGCAAAGAACCTAATTTAAATAGTACACACTGATTACTGAGCCCGAGATAGACAATCAGAAGTGATATACAGCTCAAAGACTAATCCATATCCATTTGAACCTGTGCATCTCAGAGCAAAAGGTAAGAAAAGAGAGCTTTCCAGAATCTGAAATCACAACTAAAAGGTCCTTCCCTTGTGTCTGCAAAACAGAACTAGTATTATAAGATACAAACTAGCAGACTCTACAATTTAATCAGCAAACTCCTATAAAACTGAAGGTTCAGGGAGAAGAAAGACAATATCGGCAAATAGAATCAAGTGACAGACCTGGGGTGTTGATTCACGATATTCCCCATTCCATCTTAAAATGGCAAGGTCCTTTACAATGCCGAATACAGACTGCTCAGTGACTGATTCTAAAATTCCATCTTCGCCAATCACTACCAACTCTAGTGAGGTTTCCTGTACGCAGTTATCCCAGAGAAAGGTTCATGCAAAATGTTAAGCATCAGAGTTAAGTGCGTACTGCACCAGTAACAAGAATGTTATATCTTCTTGTTGCAATTATTTCAATTGACGGTTTGCTGCCAATTACGAATTTCACACCAACTTCTAGCCTTTGCTAGTGAGAGATGCATTAAAGTACATCCCCAAATTGAATGCAAATTCAATCCACGTCTTTTTTCCATAAGTAAATAAGCACATCAATAAGTAATGAGAAAAAATTCAGAGATTATGTTGATTTATGAAAACCTAGAAACGTCGAGAGTAATAAACAACTAGGAACGAGACGCTTCAACTCCCAGTACAGTTCTAAGCATGAAGATCGACAAGGAGAGATTTTATCGGTAAATTTTGTGGGGATCAGATCGAATATCGAGGATGTTTACCTTGCCGAAGACGATGTCGAGGGTGGAGGGAGAACGAATGTGGCCAGAGACGGCGTGAAGGACGGCGCTACCCCTGAGGACGGTCCCTGCTAAATCAAAATCCGGTCGATTTTGATAAATAAAAAAAAATACAGTCGATTTTGAAATAAAAAAAAATCAGGCCGGTTTTGAAAAATTGTTCACGTTAAAAGTTCCCCGAAGCCCAGTCCGTAGTTTTTCAATGGGCAAGTGTGAAGTTTGTAGAGGATTTTTTGTGTCGCAAAGTCTACGGGGATCACTCATCCGGTAGGCTTTGGTAATTATTTATTTATTATATGGGATGGAATTCAAGAATCATGTATAGTTTAATGGGCATGTAAATATACGGGATTCTGAATCCATGGTATGTTTTTGAACATACTTTAAAATCGATGCAGTTTCAATTGATATGCATTGAAACTAAGTTGAAAATTAATAATATTTGTGGGATACAACACGTGCCCCCCCCCCCC